TGATTCTATCGCCAAATTGATCGGGAATCTGTCTAGAAACGTATGTGCAGAAATTATGTCGCCAAGTTGACTTAGAATTTCATGCTATGGTCGGGGTCACCAAAATGTTTGTAGTTTAATTTTTATTATTTATTGGAATGGTTGGCCCTAGAACTTACTCTAGTGACGATTAATTGCTAAACCAACACTTAAATTGGTTTAATTCGGATGGATCATGCGTATGAGGCCCAAAGACACATCGATGCTCACTCGTAGAACGCAGAGTAGTTGAATACACAAGTATTGCTTGAGTACTAATTTTAGTAGGGCAAAAGGTCGGGTTTATATACACGTTTTCAGAGTCAAGGGGGGCACCATAGCAAAGAAGTGGTATTGGTCTGTTAGCTCAAGTGGCTTAGCGACTCAAGTGGTACGCTAACAAAAGTTATGGCATTTCCGATCAATCAGTTATATGGCAGCTTTAGGATATAACCGGCCGATCGCGACCCTTCAAAGTGTGCAAAGTTTCAATTCGATATCTGTTTGTAGTTATACCCGTTACTCGTAGAGTAAAAGGGTATATTGTATTCGTGCAAAAGTATGTAACAGGTAGAAGGAAGCGTTTCCGACCCTATAAAGTATATATATTCTTGTTCAGGATCACTAGCCGAGTCGATCTAGCCATGTCCGTCTGTCCGTCTGTCCGTCTGTCCGTCTGTCTGTCCGTCTGTCTGTCCGTATCAACGCTGAGATCTCGGAAACTATAAAAGCTAGAAGATTGGCATTTTGCATGTAGATTTTAGGAGTTCCTACGCAGTGCAAGTTTGTTTCAAAATGGTGCCACGCCCCCTCTGACGCCCACAATCCACAAGCTGTGGCTACAGTTTTGATGATATTATGAAAATTTTAATTGATATGTATTTGTTTCGTCAATAAATATCGATTGGCCTAATAAAAGTTTGCCACGCCCACTCTAACGCCCAAAAACCCATTAAACGTTTAAGCCTGGCTAGCGCCTACATTTCCGCCTTTCATGGCGCCATCTAACGGATGACTTTGGAACAGCTGGCCAAGGTGCTCAACAGAGTCAACGTTAATTCTCGATAAGGATTTCTATTAAAGGAAATTGCGATGGTTTTCATTTGTCAATACCGAACTACATATGTATATCCCAAGAACTATGCAAATTAAATCAAGTTAGCCAAATTAGAGGTCTGAGTCAAACAATGGCGTATGTGTGTACAATGTGTACAATGTTAATACATACATATGTATATGCTTACATACATATACATATGTATGTATTAACATTGTACACAGTTGCAATTGCCCGGCAAAGATAACTCCTTTCAAAGAAAGCTATTCGCTATACCCGTTACTCGTGTTGTGCAAACATTTAGACTTTAATATACATAATACTATTTAAGAATGTATGTGTTTAGCCAATATAAGTATGTATGTTTAATATTTCTAGTCAATTTATTGCACTCAAAAACATAAACATAAACACAGCTGCTGGTGCAGGACAACAGCTGCCTGCGCTGAAGCAGCGCTGGTGCTGATGCTCGTGCTGTAAAGCTGCCAGTACTAAGAGATTGCCGAATTCAAATTGATAATTTGTACTTTTTGTCCTTTTTTCCTGTGGTCACTCTAATTCACATTATGTTAATGCAAAATCTAAATCATTTGAAATGGGGCGCGCATTTTGTCTCTTTTTGCTCCTATTCGTTTCTCACAAGTGCATTCACCTGCGCTAGAGAGACGGAAGATGTGCTAGGCAGAATGCAAAGTTCTAGAAGGCACGGTTCGCTGTTAGCAAAAAGGGCGGGAATCCGTGCAAGTAAATTGGCGGTTATGAACTTTGCAGAGCTGCAACTATTCTGCTCTCGCTTTAGTCTACGACTAACCATCGTGTGTGATCTCTCTTCTCGTCTGCGATTGCGATTTTTCTGAGTTTTGCCTAAATTAAAACAAATCTCCCTTAACGTAAACTATCCATTTTTACTTGCATTTTTGTAAGCTCGTTAAACTCATTTTTCTGTGCTTAAAACTAACGTAAATTTTGTGAACAAATTGTTACGCGGTCGCGAGTTGTTGCTGCCTCTGCCGATTTGCTGCCGACGTCGCTGCCGTTGTTTGCTGCTGGGCTGGTTTCTGCGCTCGCTTCTAAGTACCCCTTTTAACGTAGATTTTTATACCCTTGCAGAGGGTATTATAATTTTGGTCAAAAGTGTGCAACGCAGTGAAGGAGACATCTCGGACCCTATAAAGTATATATATTCTTGATCAGGATCACCTCCTGAGTTGATATAGCCATGTCCGTCTGTCCGTCTGTCCGTCTGTCTGTCCGTCTGTCCGTCTGTCTGTTTCTACGCGAACTAGTTTCTCAGTTTTAAAGATATCGAATTGAAACTTTGCACACACCCTTCTTTCCTTTGCACGCAGTATATAAGTCGGAACGGCCGGGATCGGCCGACTATATCCTATAGCTGCCATATAACTGATTGATCGGAAATGCCATAACTCTGCTGTTTGTTAAGTTAGGAAGTTGGGACTCTCTATGGGTATTATATTTGGCCAATCAATCCGACCTACCAAATTTCATAAGGATCGGCCGACTATATCCTATAGCAGCCATATAACTGATTGATCGGAAATGCCATAACTTTGGTGTTTGTTAAGTTAGGAAGTTGGGATTTTCTATGGCGTTTGTTTTTGGCCAATCAATCCGACCTATCAAATTTCATAAGGATCGGCCGACTATATCCTATAGCTGCCATATAACTGAACGATCGGAAATGCCATAACTTTGGTGTTTTTAAAGTTAGGAAGTTGGGATTTTTTATGAGTATTAAGAATGCATCATATGAATAATTTTGGAGGATATAATTTACAGAGTATTCTGCAAGGGTATATCAACTTCGGCTCCGCCCGAAGTTAGCTTTCCTTTCTTGTTGTTAATAATAACATAAGATTAAGTCTTTTTCAAGACTTACTCTTAAATTATTATTATTCATATTTTTCACATTTGCAAATTTTTAACGTAATTCATTTTTTGCCGCTCTGCCCCTTTCAACGTAGATTTGTTAATAATAATATAAGATTAAGTCTTTATCAAGACTTACTCTTAAATTATTATTATTCATATTTGTCACATTTGCAAATTTTTAGCGTAATTCATTTTTTGCCGCTCTGCCCCTTTTAACGTAGATTTGTTAATAATAGTATAAGATTAAGTCTTTTTCAAGACTTGCTCTTAGATTATTATTATTCATATATTTAACTTTTGCAAATTATTAACGTAATTCATTTTCAATCGCTTTGCCCCTTTACCCGTATATAAATAAAAGAATTCAGCCTTTTTTAAGGCTTATTCTTATATTTCTATACATTTACGTATTTATCTTAGTAATAGTACTATAAGTCTAAGTCTTTTTTAAGACTTACACTTATAATTCTATTATTTATATAATTTATATTAACTATATTATATTATAAAATTTATAAAATATTCCTAATCAGCGTATATAATCGTAGTAGTCCTATAAATTTAAGATTTTAAAAAATGCCTCGTTTAAATAGACCCACTGCATCTCAGCGGGCTAGGAACCAATTGTTGAGAAATAGGGCCAATAGGGAAAATCCAGAGTATGCAGAGATGGAGAGGGTAGAAAATTCTGAATCTCAGCGTAGGAGAAGGGAAAATGCAGTAGCCAGGAATTCAGAGCAGGGTGTAAATACAGCGTCTCGTAGGTCAAGACGCTTGAATCCGCACACTCGTGCGGGTGAGCAGGGAACAGATACTGCAAGACGTAGGGAAATTCGCTTGGATCCCGTTCTTAGTGCCGGAGAGCAAGCAGTCGACACTCGGCGTCGCTTTATTAGGCGAAGAAACACCGATGAAAGAGCTACAGAGCAGGTTGTTAATACCGCTGACCATCGGTTAAGGCGCTTGGATCCCGTTTTTCGTGCTGGTGAACAAGAAGCAGATGCTGAAAGACGTAGGGAAACTCGCTCGAACCCCGTTCTTCGTGCGGATGAACGAGCAGCCGATACTCTGCGTCGCGCTATAAGGCGACAAGTTAGAGAAGTCCGAGCTACCGAGCAAGTTTGTAATACCGCTGACCATCGGTTAAGGCGCTTGGATCCCGTTCTGCGTGCGAGTGAGCAAGCAGCCGATACTCGGCGTCGCGCTTTAAGGCGACAAATTAGGCAAGTCCGAACTACAGAGCAGGTCCGAAATACTGCTGACCGTTCGGAAAGGCGCTTGGATCCTGATTTCCGTGCGGGTGAACAAGCAGCCGATGCTCGGCGGCGTTCTCTGAGGCGTTTGGATGCTACGTATCGTGCGGGTGAGCAAGAAGCAAATACCCTGCAACGAGCGCAGGCAAGATCAACTCAGGATCGCTTATTGCAAAGAGCGCAGGATAGGTTTAGGAGAGCTACGGCTAGGAGTTTTAGGGAACGTAGGGCCGTCGAGCAGGCGAGAAATACACTGGCTCGACGAAGTGCTCGTATAGCTGCTCGACAAGCAACTATCGATGCTATTCGAAATATTAGTCAGAGAGTTAGTCAGTATAGAAGCCTCAGTGGCAATAGGGATGCAGAAAACCTTCGGAACGCAAACCGAAGTCAGGAGATTCGACTTGATTTATCCCAGGGAAATAGGACTCCTAGAAATATACCTATTGGATTGGATGCTCACATAGCCAAATTCAATAGGTTAGTAAAACTTGGCCCCGATCAGATTTGCTTCTGCTGCAAGGGATTGTGGTTTCCCAAGCAAATACGTAAGCTTTCTAGAGCCTATTTGGAAGAAAATTGCGAGTTTAAGGAAGAGATTTACCAGAATGCAAGCCAGCTTGCTTTCACTGGGGAATCCTTTAAGTTCTGTGGCACATGCCACGGCAATATAAAAGCCGGGAGAAAGCCCAAAGGTGCCATTTCCAACGGCCTAGACTTCCCAGAAATTCCTCCTTCCTTGTGGGAGCTTACTCCCTTGGAGGAGCGACTGATTTCACCTCGCCTTCCATTTATGATAATTAAGTCGATAGGTCATGAGCGTCAGAGTGCAATAAAAGGAGCTGTTGTAAATGTCCCCATTCCGGTTAGCAACATCGTGACGTCCCTTCCACGAGCTTTCCACGAGGCAGAGGTTGTACAGCTCCACCTCAAGCGATGAATGGAGTACGGACATGATTTCATGGCAGAGACCATTAGGCCTTCCAAAATTGCTGACGCCATCAGGTACTTAGTTAGTACAGAGCTTTACAGAAAGCACAATGTGTCAGTGAACGAGCAGTGGATCTCTGATTTCACATCCGAAACTGTTCCATTTGTAGCTTCTCAAGCGGACTTAGCCTTTGTAGAGGAACAACTAGCCATCCAGCAGGAGGATGTAAACTTGGAGGCGGGAAATTCCGAAGAGAATGAAGAAGCCCAAGAGCTAAATCCTGGAGGACAGGAAACTCTGCTTGAGAATAACCAGGCACACAATGTAGGAATTCCGAGAATCACAATGGCTCCAGGTGAGGGCCAAAAGCCTCTCGACGTGATTCTCGATGTCGACTCCGAAGAATTGGCGTTCCCAAGCATTTATGCTGGCGTCAAGAGACCATCTTCGGAAAGTTATACAACCATAGTTAGATCAGAGCTTAGGAACGTAGATAGAAGAGGTTGTAGAACTGACAAGTTGTTCTTCAATTATAAGAAGTTGGAATTGTTGAAAATTCGAAACAATATTTCAACTTGCCTACGTAAGCGGAGCGCTTCTAGCGCGATAACTGCCGCCAACGTACTCGATGAAGCTTTCATGGGAAACTTAATTTCCCATGATGACGGATATCGAATTCTTAAGGACATTCGCACGTCTCCTGCTCACTGGGAAGATGAGAAGAAGAAAGTCATGGCTATGATTCGCCAATTTGGTTTGCCAACTTTCTTCATAACTATGTCGGCCGCAGAAACTAGGTGGCCAGAGCTGCTAGTACTGCTCAAGCACAATGTAGATAGGATTGACATTAGTAAGGAGGAAGCTTTGAACTTACAGTTTAAAGAAAAGGCGCGGCTGATCAGAACTGACCCAGTGACGTGTGCTAGGTATTTCGATTATAGGTATAGGGAAGTTCTAAAGCTCATGAAGAAGCCGGGGGAGTCTTTGGAAGTAACCTTGTTACTACCTATTATTGGCGAGTTGAGTTTCAACAGAGGGGTTCCCCTCACATTCACGGTATGTTTTGGCTGAAAGACGCCCCGGAAGTGGATTTCAACAGTGAAGAATCTATTGCTAGTGTAGTAGCCTTCATTGATCAGTTTGTAACTGTGGATGTTACAAACACAGATTTGGCTCCGTACATTGAATACCAAAAGCATAAGCACGGGCATTCGTGCCTTAAAAATGTGCGCGAATCCGTTTGTCGATTCGGTATTCCATACCCCCAATGCCCCGCACGAAAATATTGAAGCCACTTCCCGAAGAAACTCCCAATTTGTCTCTTCATCACGAAAACTATCAGAAAATTCGCAGTCTTTTACTTCGCGATCAATCCGAGGATTTGATTAGCCATCTTAGCATATTCGAAAATTTTCTTTCTCACGATGAGGTGAGACTCAGTTACGAGGACTATATATATGCTATTAGGTCTAGTTTGAAAAAAACACAGATTTTTCTGAAGAGAACATTTGCAGAAATTCAAGTTAACGCCTATAATAAACACATTCTTTCAATGCAAAGGGCAAATATGGATATCCAGTTAATTTTGGACCCTTTTGCGTGCTGTAGCTACATAATTAATTACATTAACAAGTCCCAAAGGGGTATTTCGAAATTAATGCGCGAAGCAGCTAATGACATTCGAAGAGGCAACTCAAGCATTCGTCAAAAGCTACAGTATCTCGGTCACAAGTTTATTTCGGGCACTGAGATCTCTGCTCAGGAGGCCGTATATTGTTGTATGGGATTGGCGTTGTCAGAAACAAGCAATAAATGCGTGTTCATAAACACCTTCCCTCCAGAACAACGAGTTCGTATGCTTAGACCTACAAGCGTCCTGCAAAATATGCCTCAGGATTCCACTGACATCTTTCAGAAAGGTTTGCTGGACAGATACGAACAAAGACCAGATTCCCATGACGGCCTGTGTTTAGCCGATTTTGCTGCAAATTACGAGTATTCTAAAACCCGTGGTAGAGCTCGCCAAGGGGAAAATAGTAACAATGAGGCTGAAGAAGAAAATGAGGTCTTAGGAACAGTTTTTTTCGCACTTCGCGATGGTAGTGGATTTATTAGGGAAAGAAACCAGCCGAGTATCATTAGGTATAGCCCCTTTAATATTAATTCTGATAGGCCCAACTATTTTAGAGCATTAGTTATGCTATATTCTCCATGGAGAGATGAACAGGTAGAATTGTTTCAGAGAAATTGTGAGGAGTTTTATCATGAGCACGAGGAGGCTATTAAAGCCAACTTTGATAGGTATAATGCCATAGACAGCTTAGAAGACGCGCTCAGAAGGGCCATGGAGGCTGAGGAAAGTAGCGAGGAAAATGTAGATGAGGAGGCCGCAGTTAATGAGGAGTTTAGGGCCTTAGCTTTTCCAGAAATATCTTCTCAAATAAATGTTTTAAACTTAGACGACCGTGTTCAGGAAGTAGATCCGGATAGCAATATCCGCATAATAAAGCTCCCGCCAATTATTTCCCCTGAAAATTTAGCCACCTTAGTTAGGTCTCTTAATTTAAAGCAAAAAAACTTTCCTTACGCATGTCTTGCACAATGCAAGGAAAAATGTTAGTTTCCATGAGTTCGTAGGAGGCGGAGCAGGTGTCGGCAAGAGTAGACTTATATCCACCTTATTCCAGTTCTTTCCAAGGAGTATAATGGTAGAGTAGGATGCGACCCAACTTCTGTTAAAATACTGCTGTGTGCTCCCACAGGCAAAGCTGCTTTTGGAATCGGAGGCTCCACTCTCCATTCCATGTTCTCTCTCCCTGTAAATCAGGCTGGGTCTGCATTTAGGAGTTTAAGCCCTGATCTGTTAAATACCCTGCGTTCAAGATTTATTGATCTTAAAGTTCTTATAATAGACGAAATTTCTATGGTCGGCGCAACCATGTTTTCCCATCTGGACTCTCGCCTTAAGCAAATTTTCTCCAACGTTGATACTCCCTTCGGAGGCATTTCGGTCATCGTGTTCGGCGATCTTAGGCAATTGCGGCCAGTTTGTGATCGTTGGATTTTCCAGCCGCCGTCGCATGATCCATACAGCGCTATATTTGGATCCCACCTCTGGAGTCCTTTTAGGTTTTTCGAGCTCACAGAGATAATGCGACAGCGAGATGACCAGCCGTTTGCAATAGCACTCAACAACATGGCGTCCGGCCAAATGTCGTCTGAAGATATTGTCCTACTTAGAGGCCGCATTTCCGTAGAAAGTCAGATTCCAAATGACGCCATTCACCTTTTTCAAGCAATCAGGACACAGACCGATACAATAGGGAGAAGCTCAACTCGATTCCCACTGATCAGTTCATTTCGGAAGCCATTGACTCTGTAAAATCTGCACATATTAGCTCAGAGCAGGGGAACAGATGTCTGGAACAAGCTAGGGCATTAAAAACATCTGAGACACAAGGTTTGTGTACCTCGCTCATTTTAAAAACCACTGCTAAATACATGATGACGGTCAATGTAGACACATCAGATGGTCTCGTAAACGGAGCCACTGGTGTCCTTAGGGAGATAGGTTTCAACACGTCCAACTCTCCAAACATTCTTTGGATACAATTTTTAGATGACAGTATAGGAGTAGCTGCACGATCAAAGTGCAGTCATCGCCAAGAGGCTTCATGGACCCCAGTAGTTAAGATCATAAAAAGCTTTCAGATTAATTCTAACCAGGCCACAACCATTGACCGAAAGCAGTTTCCAGTGGTACCTGCAGAAGCAATAACTATTCACAAAAGTCAAGGCGCTACGTACAGCAAAGTGGTGGTTCACACTAGTCCTAGCATGCAGAGAGCTGCGCTGTACGTAGCCTGTAGCAGAGCCACAAGTGCAGCAGGTCTCTATATTATTGGACCTTTCGTCCCCCAAGATCCGCCCAGGGATCGGCTTCCGAGGAAGAGCTCCGAGAACTGCGTTCCACTAAGTTACTGAGTACCCATTTCGATTGTTTACTCAATAGTCCGAACCTTCATGTCTTTTTCCATAATACGGAAAGCTTGCACTGCCACATTAGCGATGTGTGTTCCGATCAGCTAATGCTTATGTCTTCCATTCTGTGCTTCGTTGAGGCTTCCACATACTCAAATGAAGCATACGACATTCCTGGCTTCGCCACAGCAGTGCGACTAGATTGCCAGTCAGTAGCTAACGGAGCTCGACCAAAAGAGGCATTCTCGTATTCGTTCGAAACGAACTCTTTGAGAATGTCAGTCTTTGTTCAAGTGGTCGCTTTCTGGCTAATTCCTCAAATTTAGCCTCTCCAGTGTTCGAGTTTGCCATCTTTAGGTACCGGTCTTTAGGGATTGTAGTTATTTATAAAAGTCCGACCTATCCGTTGTTAAAGTTTGAAACAGAGTTTAAGGAGTTATTTCAGCGGCACACATTTTTAAATAGTAATAGTTTAGTGTTAGGAGATTTCAATTTATGCCTTCACTCCATCTCTGGCTGCTGTAGGAGAGTTTTCGATTTTCTAGCAGATGTAAAAGGGTTTAGTTCGTTGCTAGATTTGGACTCGTCGACAACCAATTGCAATACGCATATTGATTGGGCGTTTTCAAATATTTTCGATAATAGGGCCACTGCGCGCACATTTGAGACTACATATAGCTACCACAGTGGTATATTAGTTAGCGTTAGGGAGGCTGAATAGGTAGGGATAATTGTATATATTATATTTATATTATGTATATATTTAAATTAAAAAAAAAAAACCCAAAAAAATTAAATAGTTGCATGCACAATTTTTTTTATAGTATGTATATATTTAAATTAACCAAAAAACAAAAAACCCAAAAAAAAATTGCATGCACAATTTTTTTTATAGTATGTATATATTTAAATTAAACAAAAAATCAAAAAACAAAAAAAATTAAATAGTTGCATGCTAAATTTTATTTATAGTAACTAAAGTAAACCCTAAAAAAAAATTAAATAGTTGCATGCAAAATTTTTTTATAGTATGTATATACTTA